GAAGATTAGTTTTCTTCTAGCTGTTGTAAGAAGACATTTTGAAAAACTATTTTTAAATTTTTTCAGACAGAACAAAAAGTATAGTTTACCTTTGCTTTTGTTTGCCTGCTGGTCCTTTATTCACCTGGTACAGAGCAGAGGCTGAGTGGCGAGGACACCTCACGGGTCCCAAAAGCCTGTCATTACAGAGCTGACTCAGTCCTCCAAGCTAAACAGGAGGCCTGCATTAAATCTCTTTATAATCAAAGTCAGGCTCCCTTAACACTATCTTAGTATAAATGAGCATTGCTTTCTTAAAATATCCAATTTAAATTTGCTGACTTGAGGGGAAGAAAAGAAAACTGGTTGAGATTCCAGTGGTAAAGACCGTGCACGTAAGATTTCCAGACTGACGAGCAAAGTGGGGCAAGGGCTCGTGCACTGTGTGCTAGCTTAACAAACAGGCCCTAATGTGCTGGCCTCGACAGCAGAATAATTGACTCTTAAGTGGAGCAATTAGTATCACCCTGACAAAATTTATGAACCACCCAGAACCAGTGGCTCAAGATGGTAACTTAAGCACATATGCCTTTATTGAATGTACCATTCTCTGCACGTGGTATTAGATGAAATAAATGTAAAGCTGAAAACGAGAAGGCTGGATATGACTCACACACTGAAAACGGGTGAAATCGAATAAGGAAATGTGAAAAATAAAACAACAAACAAGGTCCGTAGTAAAACAGTAATATAGAGGCCTCAGCTGTCCCTTTCCTTAAAAGAGACTTCTGTGACTGACACGAGGAAACCATGAAAGTGGATGGAAGGCAATTATCAGAGCTCTCGGTTGGAATGCTATGTACAGCTCTGAGAACCAGTCAGACTTCTCTGCCATTTGCAAAGTGTGTGGAGTGGCAAGCAGGAGAGACACCTGACCTCACAATACTTAAACAGCTCTTCCTATAGAGGGCTCCATTTGTGCACTGGGCCGAACACAGGAGCACAGTTTAAATGCACAAAGGTTGTCTCCCTAGGGAGCACGTTAGGCGGGAGAGATTGCTGGGCTCTTCTCTCCTAACTCCCTCCGACCTGCGTGCTGTCCACTTGTATGCACCAATGGAATGCTACTCGCCTACATTCCCGGCCGCTATCGCAGAGTCCTTGTCCCATGCAGCACAGGAATTTTGTGGAGTAAATAACTGAAGCACAGGAGAGACACTCCTACGACGGAATTTTCAACAGAGTCCTTCACGGATATGATTACCAAGGACTACGAGACACACCACACAGGCCGACAGAGGAGAAAGTAAGAGAGGGAACAGCTGATGCTAGAGAATGGTGAAGGGGATGGAACAGCAGTAACACTAAAAAAAAATAAGAAGAAGAAAGTGTCAGGTCTACCCTCAGGAGGCAGAAGCAGAAGGATCCTGAGTTCAAGGCCATTCTAGGCAGCATAAGGAGACCCTGTGACAGAAAACAACCCCTAATGAACATGTTATATTTTTAGAGAGATTTAAGGTGCTGCAAAATCTGATAGCAAAACAAGGCTAATGAGAAAGGAGGAATGACATGCATCTCCCAAAGAGCTCTTTGAAATCAGTGAGTAACTAAACTGTTACTATAAGGGGAAAAAAGTGAAAAAAAAAATCTATAGTACAAATCAAAAGTTTTATAAAATCGTGGAATACTAGAGAGAAAAGCATCACAGAACTGACACAGAAGAGCCAGGACTCAGTCCAATAGAAATGTCATAAAAGAATGGAGAAAAGGAGAACAGAACTAACTTAAAAATAAAATTTTCCTGAGCTGAATCAGGAGTCTGTATTTGAAGAGAACTTCAAAAGACATGGTAAAGAAAGTCATTCGTACAAAAAAATAAACACACCACAAATTTGCTGAGAGCCGAAGGGTATAATTATAACATTCTCTTCGTGAGATGAAGATGTGCATTCTTTCTGACTGGAAAGAAGGAGTGGTGTGGAATAGTGACGGAGAAATACAAGTGCCTGAATAAAGAGTGCTGGGTGCGCTTGTGTATTTGTTTAAAAAAAAACCATGAATGGAGGTAAAGGAGGGTATTCTCAACAAGAGACTGCTGCTCCTCAGGCTAAAGGTAATCCTTCCCACTGGTTTCTAACATAACCTTTATCATCTTCTAAGATGTTTCCTTTCCTGAATGAAGTCATTTGTGGTACTTTATTAGACACTGGGCTAACAGAGGATTCCTCTGTTCATTTCCCTTGGGAATTTGTCTTAAATAGATATGAAAACACACATGTGTATTTGTCTTTGAGTTAAACACAGTAACTTCTCATTTTCAGGGGTGGCTGATTAAGCATATAGTCTAGGAGTGCTGTTGAGACCTGCTCTTTGTACCAATTGACACACTTGCAGCCGTCTTTGAATTCAGCTTCCATTTTGTTTATAAGGTTAAGTTCAAAAATTTTAAACTTTTTAACTTTGCTTCCTAAAAGTAGTTATACATAGCTGACAGTAACAAACCCTGCCAGAGGGTCAAGTTAACTTACACTAAAAGACTCTGCCAGAGAGTCGAGCTGACCTTCTAATTTACTATGATTCAATAGTGCCATAACCTATCCTTTGTTATCTACTCACTTGGCTACACTCTTGTTTGCCCCCTTGCTATCTATACACCTGGCTGCACTCCGTAGTACTTTGGAGAACCCTAACCGCTGCCTCACTTACCTCACTTAGAACCAATCACCTTATAGGTTAGCTGATAATGCTTTGTCTAGTTAGCCAAAACCACAATACTGCTTTGTATAGTTAGCCAAAATGAGTTACTGCCATCCCCATGTCTTTTATTCAGCTTTGTCTATAAAAAGCCTACTGTAAGAACAGTTTCATGTCACAGGTAGGCTCCTGAGTCCTTACTGTGGCTCTGATCAATCAGCTTGGAAAAGATGTGCAATAAGCATCAATATCTAGCCAGGACCCATGTCTGAGAGGTTTATGTGTCACATCTTGGGCTCTAACAGTGAAATGTATGCAAGCTAAAGAAAGGGACATCAAGGCTTGAAAAAAAAAATCCTGCATAATCTGCACTTGACCTCAGATTTGCAAACTACAGTTTGAAGAATCTGCCATGAGAAATGCGACCACGGGGGCTGGTGGGATGGCTCAGTGAAGAATGTTACTGCTCTTGAAGAGAACCTGGGTGAGGCTCCCAGCACCCACATGCCCCCGACAAATATTTGCAATTCCGTTAGTAGGCGACCTGAAACCTCTCAGGCCTCTGAAGGCAGTGTGTCCACATACTGCACATACATACAAGCAAAGTAGTCAGACACGTAAATTGGGTTTTTTTTTTAATATGGCTTTTTATTTTATAATACTGGTTAAATAAAATTGAATAATGTTCTTAGAAAATGGTGGATGACTGTCTAGGGTTAGTATCATTTCTTCTACTAATTTATCATGTCTTCCCTTTTCCCCTACAAATGCCAATCATTTCATATTCCCTAATTATCTCAGAGGCATTTTAAACAGTAAAGTCTACCTCTAATGTACTCATTGTAGCTGGACAAAACTGAGCATGTCTCTATGATTCTTTACATGTTTAATTTCCTTCATCTTCAAGATGGTGTTACTACTTAATATTTGTCTTTCCTGTTTTATTGGAATGAGTTCAGTGTCTGAATCTTATATAGTAATAGTTAAATGATTTTTCATCCCTGAAGACTAGGGGTAACCATTGCTTCTTATATGACACAGTAGCCAGTAAAATACTTATGAAAAACATTGGATGCTTGTGCCTAAAGCTTTAATTCCTGTAAATATAGGTTTGTGCTACAGGATACCAACAAAACAGAAAAACTTATACATACCCTTCAATCTAGCTTCCCATATTTCATTGCTTCTTAACTTTTTATTTTTTCCCAGAATACATGATGTAATAACTAATTAATGAACCATTCAATGTTAGTATAAAAATCTGAATATGACTTTGTATAAAATTATACCTGTGTTTCAGGATGTAATCCATGTAATAGTGAAATATTTGAGACATGTTACACAGGAAAATCCATTTCCTAGCCTCAGAAAGTAAATAATATTTAGGGCACCACACTCTATTAGGTCCTTGTGACATAAAATTATTTGGATTACAGCTAGGTCAGGTCAAGTCATCATAATGAGATTTTCAAATGAATTACCAGCCAGTGAAAATAAACAAACTGTTTGAGTATAGTATATTTCAATAAATTAAGAAGTACCAAACAAAAGAATTCCCCACATAAATTCTATTATGTAGGAAGCTAGTAGGGTTTTATCTTTCCGTATAGATGAGACAAATGAATATCCAAGATACTCTGGATAAAGTTAATCCCCAATGTAAACATTTAAAGAGTCATTTTCATTTCCATAGGTTAATATGTTGTTATTGTTGCTGTTGTCATCGTATTGCTTGTTATTTAAAAGTTCAGAATCCTTGCAATACAGAGTTGTTCCCCCTGGATTTGCTTTTCTTGATTTCAGGAACGCTTTTCCCAGATACATTCTTTTGGGTTTTCCCCTTTCGTACTTTTATTTTCCTTTCTTTTCCTTTCTCTCACTATGTTGTCTTGATTGGCTTTAACTCACTTTGTAGGCCAAGCTGGCCTTAAACTTGCAATCGATCTCTGCCCTCCAGGTGCTCAGATTGCAGGAGGGAGGAAATGATAATGTTTGGCTCTCTGATAGTATTTACCCGTCTCTTCTGCTACCTGATCTTCTCACCATAAAGACCTTATGTGACTAGCCTGTATAAAGTCTCCAGTACTTTCTAACAGTTCCTAATGCCTTAAGCCGGTTTTCTCTTTATTCTAAGTTCTATCACCATCATATATGTGTGTCAATTTACTGCTTATTTATTCTTAATCAATTTCTAAGCCCCATGAGGACAGGTCTATTTAGATGCATAAAGTGAGCATCTAACAATCAATTTGTATGAAACCTAAAACTAAAAAGTCTTTAGAAAAGGCTTGAAATCTAAGAAACAACATTTTCTTCTTTTTAGTATTTTAAGAAAAAATGGACATTGTAATAGGGAATAGGAAAATTTTCACCAGAATCACCGATAAGGTCATGCCAAGAAAAATAAATGAATTAAATGCAATTGTAGGAGCCTTGTTCTTCCGACTCAATAGATTTGGAAAACGAGATCTGCAGGATTCTCCGTGCCAGCCATAGTAACAGTGACACACAAATCCAGTCTTCATATTCATTATTGTCTTCATCTTACTCCTTGGAGAAATGACAAATTTGAGGCTCTTGTTTGAGACATCATTCTTGTGGCTATTTGGGGGCATATGCAGATAAAAGGAGGATTCGGGTGTCCTTCGAACACATCTCCCATGACTGTTACATAAACTCTGACTACAGAGCTTTGCTGCAGATGTTACATTGAGAACATAAGGACCCAATAGCCCTTGAACAGTTTCTTGCACAGATAAGCAAGCCTCCTGTAAGGGAAAAAAAAAAAGAATGAGAGATGCTTAAATAACAGAACAGAATCTAGAAATAAACTCACATATATACAAGCATATAGAGGAATTTTAATTTAGAACATGTCTGCTCTGGCAAGAGATCATATCCAAAGACCTTCTAGGTCTGTGTGATCTGGCTGGTATACAAACATGCCTTTAATCCAGGAGACAGAGGCAAGCAGATCTGAGTTCAAGGCCAGCCTGTTATAGAGCAAATTTCAGGTAAAGAAAAGCTTAGGTCCAGGCATGGTTAATCCCCAACAATGAAGGTAAAGTTAGTTTGTAGAGGGAAACATCCATGTTTGAAAGTGATGTCTAATTGAGTGGTAGAAACAGGGATGAATCATAGAAAGACTTGACACGCCTATCTCTCCCTACGAGAGGCAAGAGAAGCCACTTACGGGGCAATGGAGAGAGGAGGCAGTTTTACTGGGACAGTAAGAGAGAGAGAGAGAGAGAGAGAGAGAGAGAGAATAAGCTAGACACAGGTGAAGACAGAATGAGCCAGAGTAGGAGAAGGAGCTAGAAGATTAGAAAGAAAGAAAAGCCAGGCAGAGCAATTCAGAGGCTGAGAGAAAAGCCAGATTGAATAAGTTAGCTAGGAGAGGAGTTTGAGCCCAAACAGCTGAGTTGAACCAGGAGGCTATGAGCTCAGAAATAAAAAGAAAATGTGAGCAAATGTATTAGACTGAAAACATTCTAGGCCCAGGTTAGCTTGTACGAAGGATAGAAGCTTCCAGGATTAGGCCTAGGTTAGCAGAAGGAGACAGTAAGCCTCCAAGACAACAACTGAACCAGACAAACAAAAGTTCCTTTTACACAAGCAATTGATTTTTGACAAGGGTGTCAAGAATATACGACATGGAAAAGACCAACTTGTTAACAAATAGTGTTGGGAAAATTGTCTAAATAATATTGAACCACTAGCTTATACAATATTTGAAACTTAACAAAAAGTGCATTAAACTTAAACATAAAAAAACAGAAACTAATAAAAACCCACAGCAGAAAACAGGTTTTCTTTCCTGCTTCCTGTCAGTCATGACAATTTTCTTGCATGAGACCAGAAGCACAGGTAACAGAAGAAATAATAAACAAGTGAAACTATGTCAGACTAAACACTTCTATACACGAAGAAGAAATAAAACAGTCAACAGAGTAGAAAGGCATCCTACAGAGCAATAGAAAATATGTGCAAAATTTTTATTTCCTGTAGTACCTAGCTACATATCCAAAATCTAAATGGCTCAAAATAACACACACAATAACTGAAAGAAAGAAAAGAATACAATGTGGCCAGATTTGGTGGTATAGGCCTATAACCTCAGCTGTTTGGGAGGCTGAGGCATGACAATCACAAGTCTGAGGCTTGTTGAGTTCTAGGATATCTCAGGCAATTTAATAAGTTCTCATCTAAAAACATGAGGTAAAATGAGGGCTAAAATTATAGCTCACTGGTACATCCTTTACCATATATGTGTGAGGCTTCAGGTTCAATCTCTAACATAGAAAATACCAATAAGTAAAGTTCAATGCCAGACAAGTTTACACAGAAAGTTCTAAACCATTATATAGTGAGATTTTTGTCTCAAGGGGAAAAAATAAAAGCTGCCTAACTCACCTTGTTGCCTGGGCAAATAAACAGAAAGAACTTGAATAAGCATTTTTATTTCCCAAAAAGGCGTAAATCAAGGCTACAAGAGGCCTTACCCGTAAGGTTGGCTAATATTAGCACATAGAGATTATATGCACCAGTGACTTTGTTTGGAGCCCTTTCAGCCTGCTGACCCAAATGTAAAAAAAGACATAGAACCTATTGAATACAGTATGAACAGTCTTCAAAATGTTAAAAATAGGACTACCCTATGATCCCTGTGTACGCACACTTGCACACAGTAAAGGGCCTGTAACAAAAGAGTTCAGATCCTGACCTGGGAGTTAAGCCACACTTCCGTATTCCATGCAGAGCTATTGTTTGTAGGCAAGAACCGCAACTCACCCAAGCATCCATCAAGAGATTGAAGGATAATGATCATGTGATATGCACAATGGAATGTAAGTCAATCTTTAAAAATAGAAGGAAATTCTGCTAGTTAGGACAATGCTAGTGAATCCGGAAGACATTATTCTAAATAAAATTAGAAATCAAAGGAGAAACACAATACTGTATGAGTGCACTTATACACGAATTATCTAAACTGTCAAATCAGTACATTGAATGGTGCATGCATGATAGACAAACAAAGGCTATAAATCTGTTCTATGACATGATATCTATAATTAACAATGCTAGATGATGCACTCCCAAATTTGTTATAAAATAAATGCCATGATAACTATTCTAACAACACAATTTTTAAAATACCAATCAACAATCATAGATACAATTTTCCTCCCACTTACATTTTTATTATAAGCTACCATCAAAATAAAAAAAATAACTGTACAGAATCCATTTTTCATAATAAAATAATTTTCAAGTGTCAGGCATATGCAATAGCATTTATTTGACTAAAAGTCCTGCATTGTGAGTTTAATTCTAGTCCAATTTTTAAATGAAGAAAGTAAGACTAAGAGCAGTTACTAAACGTACCTCAAATTATACCCCCAGGGTATAATAGTCAGCTTCTTACTTTAGGCTGCCCAGTTGAAGATTATGGTTGGCCACCTTTCTGTTAACCATAGTCTAGTATAGAACTGCATGATTAGTGTTCATCTCTCTAGTCTTTGAACTTTGTGAAAACCAGGGAAACAAACAGCAGCCAATTGATGTGAGATAATATTTTTCAAATGTTTTAAATTTTTTAAAATTCTTTATTAATTGTACTTTATTAATTTTGTTTCTCCCCTGTGGTTCCCTCCCTCCTCCCGTCCCAATCCCTCCCTTCCTCCACCCTCTGCATGCATGCCCCTCCCCAAATCCACTGATAGAGGAGGTCTTCTTTTCCTTCCTTCTGATCCTAGTCAATTAGGTCTCATCAGGAGTGGCTGCATTGTCTTCTTCTGTGGCCTGGTAATGCTGCTTCCCCCTCAGAGGGAGGTGATCAAAGAGCAGGCCAATCAGTTCATGTCAGAGGCAGTCCCTGTTTGTATTAAAATCACTGCCTAGAACAGCAATTCTCAGCCTGTGGGTCAAGACCCCTTTAGTAAACTTCCATCTCCAAAAATATTTACACTGAGGTTCATAACAGTAGCGGGATTGTAGCTATGAAGTAGCAATGAAAATAATTTTATGGTTGGAGGTCACCACAGCATGAGGGAGTGTGTTAAGGGAAGCAGCATCAGGAAGGCTGAGAACAACTGACTAGAATGTAGCCCTGACAGGGAAATCAGTACTGACCTCTGAATGGTAATATTCGTATCCTCCCCATAATATTATTCCTGCCGCTCCCAGGGCGGCACTTTCACCAACCGTATGCACTAAGTCCTCCTAGAAATGAAAAGGACCAGGAGAGAGTTCTGTCAATTCATGCTGGACATTGCTTATTCCTTAAGAATGTATTGTATTCATGAAGAAAGTAGCTATAAAAGTACTGGAAAGGGTGATTTGAGCATTTAGTTTATCTGATAATACTCAAGTATTCCAGAAAATGCTCTAAATAATTGGGCTATAAAAATAGAGATTCTAGTCCCTGGACTGGAGTTATGTAAAATGTTGTTTAAGACAGACATATAAGCAAGTAATGACAATACAATGGACTAATATCCACATTTAGGAGAAAAGTAATAACATATGAAACCTTGCGTAGGAACAGGAACACCTACAAAGAAAAACCATTTACTTATGGGTACTAAGATAGTACTGTTCCTAAAACCCATAGTGTGTTGAACAAGACCGGCAGTGCCGGCTGCAGGATACAGCATCACGTTTTTTCAGTCAGGGAGTCCCCAGAGGCCTGGAGAAGTCAGCTCCCAGCTTTCCTCTTAGTTGTCCTACTACTTGATGAGCCCCTAGTGGTGAACACACAGCACACCTCGGGTATAAGGTACAGAGAAATCAAGCCAAGACTGAACTAAAAGTTTCTTCCTGGCTGGCTAGATTTTGCAGTCCCAGAAGATGCTATGCAGGCTGCTAGGAGAAAGGGGGCGTTAGTGCTCTCACCCAGATGTGAACCCTACAAGAGAGAGGAACAATATACTAGGCAGGATACACTCTCTATACCTGTGGGGGGAAAACTGCTTTGATTGAATTTGAGGCCTGCTGCGCAGGACAGAATCCATACATGTTACTGTAAACCTGGTCAAAAGCCAACATCTCTCTAATTAGAATTAAGGCCCACTCTACACCTCAACAAGAGGAAAACCATGCCTAGAGCTGGAAACTAGCTAAAGATGTGGTTAATGGAGGAGAGTCTACAATCACTAATTTACTAAACCAGCATAATGTCTTATAAAAAATCAATGAATATTTGTGTTTATACTCACATAAAAATGTAGTCTTTACCCCTCATTAAGAAGACTTCTCTTGGAGGCGGGGCAAGATGGCAGCGCCGGGAGGACTCTCATTCTGAGGAGCAGCACAGCAGGATCAGCACAGTGACCAGCAATCAGAACTCGCGGCCATAAAACACAAGTGGTTGTGTTTCCCAGGTGAGAGGATACCCCACGGTGGGGGATTGGATCAGCTTTAACTCACCCTGCTAAACCGCGAAAGAGATCCCCGTTCCGCCAGGCGCTTGGTCGCCAGCCCAGAGCTACCCGCCAGCGCGATCTGGTCACGGTCCCAGACTGAACTGTGGGCCCACAACACCATAGACTGGATTTCCCAGTCGAGAGATAACCCCACGGAGCAGGAAACAATTGGGACCGACCCCAGGTTGCCCAGACATCCCCTGGAAAAGACTCGGGTTCCGCGGGTGCCCCAGGAGCCAGCCCGGACCCAGAGCCGGGAGGGACAAAGGCGCCTGCCTGCACAGAGCCCTGCCTGCGCGTGATTCACCGCCTCAGATAGAACTGTGGGCACCAGGGCACCAGGGCACCAGACTGCATGTCTCTGGCAGGAGGAAACCCCCAGCGGAGGGGGTCAGCAGCTCTAACGCTTAGGACACCCAGCACCAAAACACTTCCTGGACTCACGCAGACTCTAGTGCAGGCAGGAGCGCTGTGCTCTGCCGCCATTGTTGCGTTCCCCTGGGGCACTGGGACACACAGCTGCATCCTCGGACCTGCAGGAGCCGAAGAGCCATTACAGCAGCCCTCAGATACTGTGCCAGGGATCGGCCAGTTGTCCCTGGCTGGACTGCCAAAACTGTAGGAATCCCTGATCCTTCAGGGGGGCTGCACCCACAGCGTCTGGACCAAAGTGGTGCCTACAGCCGCCATCCCAGACAGAGACACACAGCTTCTGGTCCAGAGTGAGGCACCCAGCCTCCAGACCAGAGCAGTGCCCCCAGGCGCCAACTCAACCTAGGTGCACATTCTCCAGGTCCAGAGCAGAGCAATCAGCCTTTGGCCCAGAGACTTGCTGAGTGCACCTCCCACTTTCTCAGACAGAACTGTGCGCCCCAGGATAACAGACTGAGTTTCCCTGTTGGGAGAAAACCCCACAGCTAGGAAATCAGCAGTCTCTTCAAGAGGACTGTACATGGAAATTTAGTGAGCAGCAGCACACTAAAATTATAACAAGAAACCCAGCAGTGGGGCAGCTGTCTTGAGAAATTTTATGGGCAAGAGGAGATCCCCCCCTGCCTAACATAGACCACAGCTACTACTCAGGGCTATAAACCTGAGGTGAGCAGTGGCAACTCCGGAGAAACACTGGCCATACAGTGACCATAACCAAAAAGCAGAGAAGGACTCCTTCAGGAAAAATCATCTTCCGGCCAAGGGGATACTCCCTACCTCAGGACTCCAGGAAGCACAGAAACTAACAGCCAAAACCTAAATCAGCCCAATGGGTAGAGGTCAGCGTAAAGGCTCAACCAACAAAAGACAGAGCAATATGGCATCTCCAAAACCCAGCCATCCAGGGGCGAACAGCCCTGAACAATGCAGCATAATAGAAAATCAAGAAGATGACCTTACATCTATGTTGATGAAGAGAATAATAGAGGAAACAGATAAAATACGTAAAGAATTAGAGGAAGATAAAACCAAACAGATCATGGCTATCCGTAAAGAAATGGAGGAAGATAAAGACAAGCAAATCAGGGCCATCCGTGAAGAAATACGGGAAGATGCAGCCAAACAGCTTGTGGCCTTCAGAGAAGAAATAATTAAATCACTGAAAGAAATCAAAGAGACAGAGTTGAAGGAACTAAAAGAAAAAGAGGAAAATACAAGCAGACAGGTGAAGGAAGTAAACAAAACAACCCAAGACCTGAAGATAGAACTAGAAAAATTAAAGAAAACACAAATGGAGGAAATAATGGAGAGGAAAAATTTAGGGAAGAAAACAGGAACTACAGAGGTAAGCATAACCAACAGAATACAAGAAATGGAAGAAAGAATCTCAGGTGCAGAAGATACAATGGAAGAAATCGATGTATCTGTCAAAGAAAATGTTAAATCCAAAAAATTCCTGACACAGACCGTCCAAGAAATACAAGACAATATGAAAAGACAAAACCTAAGAATAATAGGAATAGAGGAAAAAGAAGACTCCCTTCTCCAAGGCCCAGAAAATATTTTCAACAAAATCATTGAAGAAAATTTCCCCAAGTTAAAGGAGAAGCCAATAAGGATACATGAGGCCTACAGAACACCCAACAAATTTGACCAGAAAAGAAAATCCTCCCGCCACATAATAATCAAAACAGGAAGTATACAGAACAAAGAAAAAATACTAAAAGCTGCAAGGGAAAAAGGCCAAGTAACATATAATGGCAAATCCATTAGAATCACACCTGACTTTTCAACAGAAACTATGAAAGCCAGAAGGGCCTGGACAGATATCATGCAGACCCTAAGAGAACACAGATGTCAACCGAGGCTACTATACCCTGCAAAACTCTCAGTCCTCATAGACGGAGAAAACAAGATATTCAATGACAAAAACAAATTTCAACAATACCTACACACAAATCCAGCATTACAGAAGACACTGGAAGGGAAAATACAACCCAAGAAAATTAGCTTCTGTCAAGAAAACACAGGAAATAATTAACCTTACTACAGCAAAACAAAAAGCAACCAAGCACACAAACTTATGAACACAGCCAACATCAAAATCAAAGGATCTAACAGCCACTGGTCATTAATCTTTCTCAACATCAATGGACTCAACTCTCCAGTAAAAAGACACAGATTAACAGAATGGATACGTAAACAAAACCCAGCAATCTGTTGCATACAAGAAACACACCTAAGGCACAAAGATAGACATTACCTGAGGGTAAAAGGTTGGAAGATGACTTTCCAAGCAAATGGACCCAAGAAACAAGCAGGAGTAGCCATTCTAATATCTGATAAAATAGATTTTCAACCAAAATTAATAAAAAGAGATGAGGAAGGACACTTCATACTCATCAAGGGAAAATTCCACCAGGAAGACATCACAATCCTGAACATCTATGCCCCAAATACAAGAGCACCCACATTTGTAAAAGAAACATTGATAAAATTTAAACCACATATAGATCCCCACACATTAATAGTGAAAGACTTCAACACCCCACTCTCAACAAAGGACAGGTCAACAAAACAGAAATTAAACAAAGAAACAATATCTCTGACAGAGGTCATGAATCAAATGGACCTCACAGACATCTACAGAACTTTACACCCAAACACAAAAGAATTTACCTTCTTCTCAGCACCTCATGGAACCTTCTCCAAAATAGACCATATAGTTGGTCACAAAGCAAGCCTCAACAGATACAAGAAGACTGAAATAATCCCTTGTATCCTGTCTGATCACCATGGAATAAAGCTGGACTTCAACAACAACAGAAATAGCAAAAAGCCTACACACTCATGGAAACTGAACAACTTGTTACTAAATGACAGCTGGGTCAGGGAAGAAATAAAGAAAGAAATTAAAGCCTTTCTAGAACTCAATGAAAATGAAGACACAACATACCCAAACTTGTGGGACACAATGAAAGCAGTGCTAAGAGGAAAGTTCATAGCACTAAGTGCCTTCAAGAAAATTCGAGACAGCTCATTCAAGCAACTTAATGGCCCACTTAAAAACCCTAGAAAAAGAAGAAGCAGACACACCAAAAAGGAGTAGACGGCTGGAAATAATCAAATTCAGGGCTGAAATCAATCAATTAGAAACAAATAAAACAATTCAAAGAATCAATGAAACCAAGAGCTGGTTCTTTGAGAAAATCAACAAGATAGACAAACCCTTAGCCAAGCTAACTAAAAGGCAGAGAGACACCACCCAAATCAACAAAATCAGAAATGAAAAGGGGGACATAACTACAGACACTGAGGAAATCCAAACAATCATTAGGACTTACTTCAAAAGTCTATATGCCACAA